AGAATATACCGACAAATAGGAAAAGTTTCAAAACAGTCACTGCAATCTGACTTTAATGTTAAGATGAGTAGAGGGTAAAAGGAAGAGTAGAGTTCATTTGCAATTTCAAATGAACTTCCCCTCTGCAATACGTTCTTTCTCTGGGCCTGTTAGTTCTCTTGATTAGAGCGGCATGCTCTTGAGGTCAAAATTATGACCTCTTTTTATCTCAGTTAGTTAGTTTTGCCCTGTTCAATGGCCCTGGACATTGGACTCTGGCCTGATCACAAGAGGTGGAGAAAGAGTAAAGATGTTAATGAGGAAAATCATTGACATTCTTTGGAAAATTCAAAGTGAGCATCAGCGGTAATATCTACATACATGAAAGGAAAAAGGGATTCACATAGTTCTGAACCACAAAATCATATAAAGAGAAGGCTAGGATGTTTGGGGGAGGGAGAGCACAGCTCTTATCTTTGAGATGGATCAAAATAAAGTAAGACAACTACATCCTTTAAGAGATAAAAGTGTAAGAGAAAAAAATTAGGTCAAATGGGTCATTAACTTGGTTCCATGATATCCTCCATCTTCTTAAGCCACTAGAGGATGTTTGAGCAAAGAGAAATTTTCATTCTTTATTTAATCACTTATTTTCTAAGAAGCTCTCTTCTAAGTAATAATTCAAGCAGCTCACAGGTTACTTAATGTTTTACAAACCTCTTTTCCTCACAACAATCCTGTAAGGCAGAATGTATTAGCCCCATATAACTGAGGCTCACCACCAGGAAGGTTGGTCAACAGGTGACATTTGTTTTAAGCTTAAGCAATCAAGAACACTCTCTACTTACTGAAGAATAGCAGGAATTTTTATCTGTGTCAGTGCACCGAGAAACATTCACACAGATTAAAAACCATGGATCCTTTAAATGTTGAAGTACAATTACAGGAACTAAGACTTCAAGAAATAAAGTGACTTGGCCTATAGAATTCTAAAATCATAGAATCTTAGAGCTGGAAGAAGCCTTAAAACTCCCCATGTTTCTTCAGCTGAGGAAACTTAGGGCCCCAGAGAAAAAGTGGCTTGCTCAAGATCACATAATCTCTGACTACACAAAATAAGAAGTTGGGTCAACTTTGGATCCATCCTAATATGACTGTTTCAAACTCTAATACACCAATGGATCTGTGATCTCACTGACATGGATAATCTCCCCAATGATGCATATTACACTCCATCCCTACCTGTCTATTCTGTGGGACCCTTGTCCATGTCCCACCATCACTTGAGGACCTAGAAGGCCACGTGTGGCCTTGAGGCTGAAGGTTCCCCACCCCTGCTCTAGGGTCTGCTATTCTAACATTCCCTTCAATAACAAGATCCTCAGTTTCACTACATGGGCTCTGCCCCTCCACCTTTGTAGTTGTTTAATTGGATATCCGTTTCCTATTTCAGGGTCTTTTGGAAGAGATCTTAAAAAGCCCAGAGTCTATCAGCTTTATACAAATATGGCCCTAGGGCATTTTCAGTTTTGTGAAGAGCTTGTTTTGCAACTCTTGGATGAATATATTGGATCCCTATTGCCAGCCTCAGCATTTCATTCCTTCCCTACGTTGTCAGTTGTCTAATCCAAGTATAGTCAGCCTGGGTGAGTTTGAGCCTTTTTTTTAATGGCCCCATTCCTTTGAATTGGGCCATTGATCATAATTTTGCAAACTTATTTTGGCATGAAACTATTGCATCTTGGAAATTGTATCAGAGTCACTTTTACTTAAAGCTTCAATTAACATATTTAAATTTCAATGTATTATACAATTTTTAAAATTTCATTTCATTTCAGCTCTAATTCATTTGTGATCCAGATAGTTTTAAAATCAAAGAAACTACATTTTCCTGAAGATACTTATTTTGAGTTAGATGACTATTGTTTTGATCAGAAGATAAGCCGAGCACAATGATTTGTCTATGAGGAATGGCCTCATGAAAAGGTAGGTAATGGTAGACAAATAACCTATTTCATAATAATAATCAATAAAATATCTAATTTGGGTGCACGTTTACTATTACATGAGCTTGTTTATGTATATTTTCTTCTCAGTTTTATACTTTGTTTCAATATCCAGCCAAAAATCAACAACTAATTCATAATATAAAGCTGTGATTTTACTCTATTTACTGTTTCCAAAATGATAACTTTGCCTTGTTGCAAACTATATGGATATAGATAAAAATGAGGCTGATTTTTTAAAATGAAAAAAATTGTGGTTTCTCCATTTTCCCCTCAAGCATAAATTGTTGAGTAAGGAGATTTTCAAAAGCCAGAAATTGCTATGGAGAAAACCAAAGCTGGAATCCAGAACTAGAACAAGATGCATCTGGCAGAACAAAGTTTGGAAGAAGGCTTTGCTTTAAAGTGCATTTCCCCACAACTTAGCACATGTCATTTACGATGATGGAGTTTGCATACACAAGGGTGATCTAGCACAAATGGGAAAAATCAACATCAAAATTAGAAACTACCTAAGCAATGCTGTTTTTCTTGGGGCTACACTGCCTCTTTGATTTCCTGGTCCTTTTGAAAAAGAATAACAAAATTCATCCAACCTAGTGATTTCAGAAAGATTCTTCTGAACTATAGCCCTTCAAATTGGCTCATTTTTGAAGTGCTGCCCATCTGAATTTACTCATTTTTTTAAAATGCAATGTACAGTTTCTCCAGAAATTAAAGGGAAAAAAGAATTCAGACATGCCTTTACTTATGAGCCTAAATTATGTAACCATCAAAAGGATTAACTGTGTTCTGTTTCCTTTTATAAAGCAAAGAACTCCTCATCATCTCTGGTGAAAATAACTTTCTAAGTGTTAAGTGGGAAATAGTACCCAGTTTAGAGCAATGAATTTCAAAGACTCCCGAAGGGGGGAGGCAGGAAATATTCACCATTTACAGTCATCTGTCTCTAAATTTTAACACAGGAAGACTCCTACAGCCACGGCTAATATCATTACTCAGTCCTCCCTCATCATATTCGATTAATCTTGGTTTCTCTCTGGCTCAATCTGCCTGATTTGTTGTGGCAAAAGGTCACAAAGAGAGAACAAGAGAGAGGGCTTTAAGACTCCAAACGTCGGAGCTTCGATGCTGTAGTTTCAATGATTTTATTGGCAGGAGGAGTACAAGTACTGCCAAAGTCAATACCTGGGATCTGTGTGTCCGGAGCTGCAGGTTTCCCAGTAGTAATGTGTCCCCATTTCTCATTACTGTCCCTCTCCTGTGTGTTGGAAACAGCTGCTGCTACCCTGGGCTGCTTTTCCCATCTTCCTCTTAGCACCCCTCCCCTCCCTATTATATTAAATTTTCTTCACTCCCCCCCCTCAAAGTAGAAGAGACTTGCTGTTTCTTATTTTTCCTACTTCAAAGAGTGAACCTTTCCCCTACTTTTGTCTTATGAACTGAAAGGTGAAGTGGGGGGGGGAGGAGTGTGCAGGGCAGCTCTATGTGAACTCTCACCTCCAATCCTGACAGCAAAAAGTGCTTTTTTTTTGATGAATGGATCTTTTTTGATGAATGTACCTATAAGGCTTCAAACCGCTGAATTGCCCAACGCTTTGACCTTCCTTCATCTCCCCCACTTCAACTAAGAACAGATTTTTTTTTTTTGAACACACTCGAATTCGATTGTGGAAATACTGTTGATTTAAATGTCACCGAAGGAAGAGCTAGTTTCTGGTTCATTACAACACTGGAAGAGAGAATGTGGGGGAGTATTTAATTACATATGAGAGTCAGAGATAGAGAGACAGAGATGGACAGGGCGGGCAGACAGAGATCCCAAGAAAGATCTCATAATCTCCTGAGACAGAAACAGAGACAGAGGTAGAGAGACCGAGACAGAAGACAAAGACCGAGAGAGACAGAAGAGGGAGAGGAAGGAGAAAGTGGGAGAAAGACACACAAAGAGAGACAGAGAGACATTGTTTTGGACTCTACTATGGAGTGTCTGTACAGATCAAGTTATCTATGGGTCCTTTTTTAAATCAAGTAAAATTTTACTTGAGAGAGACAGAGAGACAGAGACAGAGACACAGAGACAGAGACACTGAGACAGACACAGAGACAAAGAGAGGAGAGAGAATTTCGGGAATCCCTGAAGTTGTATTTGTTCCAGATACCTGAATTTGGGGAAGCGCCGGAAAGGATGGCGAAGGGGAAGTTCATCAGAGTTCCAGACCTCGGGACCTTCAGGCTAGACCATCCCGACCCCAACCCTGGAGGAACCTGGAAACTGCCAGACTGCGTGTGCAGGACTGAATTTGCCGGTGTAGCATGTGGTTGGGCCAAGTGGCGTGAAGGCAGCTTCCTCTGGGCCATCTCCTCACTGGAGCTCCGGGGCTGTCTCCCATCTACCCCGCACTCACGCCCAAGCTTCAAGACTTCTGGGCTCCAGGGAGGGAGCTTTGACCCTAGATACTCCCAAACTCCAAGCAAGGATTCGCGAAATCTGGGGACCCATTCCTTGGCTTGGGGTGTGTGTGTGGGAGCAATGCAGCTGTCCGGCTGCGCTGGGCCAGGCTGCCCGCTAGCTCTGTCTGCCTGCCCCGCCCCGAGGACCCTCCAGGGCCAGTCCAGCAGTCAGCCCGCGCCGCCGTCCAGTTCCCGCGGCTCTCGCGGCGCACGTGAGCCGGCAGGTGCCTGAGTTAGCTCGGAGACGGGCTGCTGCGGCGGGGGACTGAGTCCTAGCCCGAAGCGGAGCGGCGGCTCTAGGGCTGAGGGACTGAGGAAGAAGGCGAGAGAACGGAGCTGGCGCGTGGAACAAAGTGGGCGCCCCCTTCGAGGGGGCAGCTTCACCTGCTCCGCAGCCAAGAAAGAGATAGTACAGCAGAGAGGCTTTAGCAAAAGCCCTCCACGTCCCCATCCCAAAGCAAGAGAGATAAGGGCTCTGTTCCACCCTCCCCAATTCCATTGATCATTCCTACTTCCCCTCCAGGCTCACCTAGCCCTCTTAGCTCCCGCAGCGTGACCTACCTCCGAGGAACACGAGCAACCACAACTTGGGGACCATGGTCACGAGCTTCCAATTCTCTCGGAAAGGACCTCCCGCCCGGTTTTCCCCGCCTTCGCCCGGACTAGCCGCACAGGTTGGATCAGCCCTCGCGTCCTCACTGCAGCTGACCTTCGGGACCTCCCGGGTGGCCCCACGACCCCCGCGGGGCTTCCCAACCTGCCCACAAGTCCATCCGCTCCGCTGAACTCTGCACGCCTACTGCCCCAGTCCCGAGACCCAAAGGATGGGAGGGTGGGAAGAAAGGCACTCAACAGGGGATGTCTTCCGAGTCAGTCACTACAGTTTCTCACGGCAGTTCACCCAGAGCAAGGGTAGGAGGTAGGAGAGGACGCCTGGGTTCCTGGCCTGTGGATCGCACCGGGACTTCTGCCTCAAAATGAGTGTCCCTCGCCTCGCTGCCCACCCCCCCTCCACTACACAGAAAGACACGCACTCTCAGCCTGTTGATAGTTGTAAAGGGAGCTTTGCAGTCATAGGTTCAAGTTGCCAGAAGAGGAGGAGACTGCTTTCGGTGGGGCGCACACACGTCTACACACACACACACACCCTTGCATCACACCCAGCTGGCCCAGCCCCCCTGGCCATCATCTCCTGCTTCATCACCCTTGGGGGAAAGTGGCCTTTCCCCAACCAAAGAGTCTGTCCAAGCCTCCCACTATTCGAGTGAGCATCTCGCACCAAAGTTAACCCTCTGCACGTACTTCCTTCGGGACTCTAGGGCCAGCGAGCTCCCTCAGCACCTTCCCCAGTCGCTGCGGGCCCCTGGGCATCGCCTAGTCCCAGTACAGCTCAGCCTTGCACAAGCAACTAGAGAGAGATGCTCTTCCTGATTAGGTACCGACAGTACCCGTAAGTAGTGCCAGGAACAAGACCCTACCAGGAGGTAGACTGATCGGAGAAGGTCTTTCTCTTTGGGTAAATTTTCCCAGTCTCCTCCCTCCTAGGGGACAGTACTCAGATGTGTGTTAACCAGCCCCCACCTCTTGTTTCTTTCCCATACTTCAGCTTTACCCATACACTCATTTTTTTTTTTAAACTGGAAGAATCTGTTTAGACTGGGAGCAGCCCTCAGCAAAATAAAACCTCAGGAAGTGGGAGATGATTATTGAAATCATAGGGTCTGGAGTTGGAAGGGAACTTAATGATGATCTAGTCCAGCCTCCTCGTTTTACATGTGAGGAAACTGAGGCACAGAGCTAGGAAGTGACTTGCTGTGCTCCACACAGCAAGCTGGTGGAGTCCAGATTCAAACCCAAGTCTCCTGATTCCAAATCTAAAATTCTTTCCATCACACTATGAAGCAACACTTCCACTCCTCACTCCTCACTCCTCACCTTCTAGTTTCTGGCTCCCAGTAGACCTAAAGACAGACTAAAGGCAGGAGAAAGGACAATGAAAGGTCTGCTTTTTACCTGTAAGAGTCCCCACCTCCTACTCCCACTTACCACTCAGAGAATTTGAATGACAGTTTTCCGTAGAAAGGCTAAATGGAGAGACAAATGAACAGCTCAGTTACCTGATTTGTAAGTGCTTTTTAAAAATAGAAGATCTACAGAATAACTGAAGTAAAAGTGTGGCTTTTGTTTGAATTCTTTGGATAATTAGCTCAGTGTTCAAAGTAACCTGGTCACAGAGAGGGAGGAAAATACTGCAGAGCCTTAGCAGCTCTCAGAAGTTTATTCTTAAAGTCCATCTTTGTTGGTTGACAGGTTTCAGGAAGTCGGGTGCTGAAAGATGCCGCCTCATCTTTGAGTTCCTCTCCAGAAACTAAATGAGGTTCCTGGTTTAAAAAAAAAAAGATGCAAAGTAGACCTGTCAAAACGTGAGAATGTGGATTTTCCTTGGTTTTGTTTTTCTACTGGGGCAAAAGAGCAGAGCTTGACCAAAGCAGAAATTTAAGCCCAAATGGAAATGTATATCCATGTAAGGAAAACGATCAATTTCCTTCTAGAAAATGACCCTGCCCCACTACTTTCCCATGTGGATTATTAGCAACAGGGTGAGACAAAGCAGAGATTTGCTGAAAGTGGAATTGGTGTGAGCTCTTCCTTCTAGACTATGCAAAACTACATGTATTAAGCCCATTCAGATGAAGGGGATCCCTTTTTTTTTAGTAGAGACTGGAAGTTAGCAAAGCTTTTTGTGACATTTACAGGAATCCTGGGGCTAGAACTAAATATTTTTTAAAAAATTTATAAATGTATACTTAATGGTCTAGACTCCCGAGGGCTGTTCTTCAGTCATTGTCTGCTCCAAGAAGAGCCCTAGCTGCCAGTCTGTGGTTTAAAGTTGCTGAGGGAGATTACCAACAACTAACCTCTTGGAAGGGAAGGAAACTTATATTAAATGTGGCTGTTTGATCACAACTAGGTTATTTCAAACCTCATCATATACATAAATTAAAAGGAGAAACTGACCCAGAAGGTATTTTGCCTAGTTATTTTTTAAGTGCCTTCATGAACTTCTGCCATCCTATTCTTTACCTGGTCATTGTATTTAGAGTTTGAAAAGAAGCTCAGTTGCAGGGTCAGTGACACAAGGGACTCTGTCTCCTGGCCTAACCCAGAATGAATACAAGTATTGCACAGTTTTCTTTACCTACTTTGTCTGGATCTCTCCTTTGCTCCTATCTATTCCATTCTATGTTTACTTGCATACATATATTCCTGGTTTTAACCTTCTTGGAGAGGAGGATGGTCTTGTTATTTATATTTACTATTGCTAGCACTTATTATAACTCAAAATTATATATCACTTTAGGTTTTATAAAGACTATATAAAGGACTATATCACTTTAGGTTTTATAAAGCACCTTCCTTATAGCCTTGTGATATGGGTAGTTTCTCCAGCTTTATATCCCAACTAGTTTAACATGGATGTTCAAATGTCTACTGAGTTGAATATACCTAAAAATGTTTGTTAAATGAATTCATGAACACCATCAATAACAAAAAGAATGGTGAGAACCATTATGTGGAATGCCTTATGGATAGCATGAAATTCTTTCCACTGTTAAGGTCAAACGATCATAGATTTAGAGTTGGAAGGGACCTTAAAGTTCATTTGGTCGTTTCCTCATTTTAAAGATGAAGAAACTGAGAGACAGAGAGGGTAAAGGACTTGCCTAAGATGATACAATTAATAAGTGACTGAGCTAGGATTCGAATGAAGATCCTTTGACTCTAAAGTAAGCATTTTTTCCATTATACCCCATTGCCACTTCATTTTGACAATCATCTTGTCCACACTCTTCATTTGGTGGAGGAGAAAACTGAGGATCAAACCCAACAAACATTTATTAGTGCCAGGCACTGTGCTAAGTGCTGGGGATATAATTAATAAAAAGAAAGACAGACCCTTCCCTCAATGAGCTTACAATCTAAAAGAGACAACATACAGAAAGAGGTAGAAAACCAGAGTAAAGGAAGAAATGGGTCACCAGGGGGTGTCCAATGAGGGAGCATCTTGTTCCATGGAACTGAAACCAGGCAGGGCAGCAGAAGCCAAGAGGAATGACCTGAGAGTTTTCTGCCTTCTATAAAGGAAAGCATTGGGAGAAGATTGGTCCTCCATCCTCTAGTCTGTCAGCCAGAGGGGGAGAGGGGGCTGAGGGAGGTGGAGTTAATCAAAGCTTGAGTTAGCAACATGGTGATGAGCAGCATGGAGGGTACCTTCTTCCAGCTTAGAGTTTTAGCTGCCCGAGGCATTGAGAGATTAAGTGTTTTATCCAGAGTTACATAGTCAATTTGTGTCAAAGACACATGGACTTGAATCTAGTTCTTCCTGGCTCTGAACTCTCTCTTCACTAGGCATGCTGCCTCTTTTCCCAAATATAGCTTAAAAAAAAACAGAACAAACCAACACAAAAGGTTGTCTTTAGCTTTTCTCAGAAGCCTCAGTTCATTTTAAGCTTTAGCACTCTAGACACCATTCTTCCATGAAAATGTTATGTTTATATTATTCATCCTCCTTGCTTCCTTTTTGTACTTGCCTTTTTAAAATCTAAGTTGGTTAGTGAGTTCCTGGTGGATTCTCCTTCCCCTCCCCCACCTCTTTGTACAGCTACACTTACCCCTCTTCATCAGGTTTGCTTTTTCTTTGTGTCTTGAGAATTTCATTCTTGAGAACTCGTTCCTCTTAGGGTGATTTTCCCTAGAGCATTTTAGTCCATAGGGGCCTACTTATCCTTTCTCTGAACCCTTTGAAATCTGTTTACCCTAAATCTAGAGTGTCTGTTGGACTATTCCCAGCTATCATCTTCTCCATCATAAATTCTAGTCATTTTCCCCACTCCTCCCAGGTTCCCATTGTTTCCCCACATCAGTAATGAGTTCTTCCTTGTTGGTGAGAATAAGATCTAGAATTCCCTATTATTGGTTCCTTCACCTCTTGAAAAGACACAACCCCAGTTATCAGGATGTAATTGTCAGTGTGCACTGTTTGGTTTTGTTTGTTTGTTTTGTTCTGTTTTGTTAGCTTCAGATAAAAAGATGCTAGAATAGATTGTCAAAATCTTAGAAGTAGAATTAGTCTAATACCCTCATCTCACAAATAAAGAACCCAAGACAAGGAGAGGTTAAATGATTTGCCTAAGGCCACACAGCATGTTGGTGGCAGAGGTTTTTGAGAGCAAAATTGAACGACCAAATAAGGCTATATGAGCTAGGAAAGTCTCTGTAGGATAAAGCCCAAGAAGAACCAACCGAGTTGCTCCTACCAGCTGGTTCTTGACGCAGATTTTGAATTGTGGCCCCTAGTCCTGAATTTATTTTGTTTTCCTTTAGAAAACTGTGATGAACAGAACTGTTAACAAGTGAAAGCTTTAGGAGAGCTCATAGAAAAGTTTTATGTTTCTCCCTCCCCTATAGTTAAGGTAATCACTAGTGATCTTTTTTAATATTGGTCACTGTAGATTTCTAAATTCTGATTTGAGATTTTCTTTCTGGAGAGTCCATTCTTCCACTCACAGCAGTTAAGCTGGAACTGTTCCGAGGGGCCACTACCTTTCTGAAAAATGGCTAGGTAAGTATAAATGAGGCACGTCAGAAAGAGACTTTCCATATGTTGGGAGATGAAAAAAGATTGTTATTTCATGTACTATGTTTACAGGCAAACAAAAGTCAAAGTGGGAGAGTTGCGTAACAGTAACACTCAGTTGTAACATCTCCCTTCAATCCCATTTGATATTCATGTTTATCAATGTTAAAATTCCACACAAGGGTAATATTGTGCTATAAAAGTATCTTCTGTGATATAAGTGCTGTGGATAGAGGAGTACTCTAAGTACAAAAGCTACTTAATTAATGAAACTCTGTTTTCTTATCTTAAAAAAAAGAAAGGGGCTGGACCAGATGGTCTCTGAGATCATTTCTACGTCTATGATGCTGTGGCTTTATGATGCAATCAAAGAGTTGACCTTCTCTTGCTATTTAATAAACCAGTGAATGTAATGCCATTCCTTGAATTGTAAAAAGAGATGCTTGTGCAAAATCAAGGACAGAGTCATACAATGCAACCACCACTTAGATCCTCTCCAGTATCTTGCACTCCCAAGCCCACAATTCCATGCACTGAAAATACAAGACTGAAAAGAGAACTTTCCCTGAAGTCAGAGGCTGAGATGTTGTGGTAGCCAAGGGATTCGATAGGAGCTGTTAAAAAGGAAGGCAGGACACAGGGAAGGATTTTTTCTTTCTCCTTACAGCACCAGAAGGCTGTGTTGTTCACAGCCTTCCAAATGCCAGTGGGGGAGAATCAGGCTTGGTCTTTAATGAGTGTTTTTTATAAACTTTGGAACACCTGCTTATTATCCTGCAGTAGATAATAATAAAAGTAACTCACATTTTTCTAGTGCCTTAAAGTTTACAAAGCACTTTCCTTGTAACAACCTGTGAGGTGGACAGTACAGGATCTTGTTTTGTTTTGTTTTGTTATTAAGTAAGACCTGGAATTTCATGGCCATGGGGAGCTCCCAGGAAGTAGCTCCCTTAGCCAATGAAGACTGGCACCTTCTCTGCAAGTGATAGTCTTAGAAAGATGCCTGGGGCTCTGAAAGGTTAAGGGACTTCACCACACAGCCAATGTGAATTAGCAGGAGGACCTGAATCCAGGTTTACCCATTTCTAACTCTCTAACCACTACACTAGACCGCTTCTGGAAGGATAAATACACTCCCCACTTTTTCTTGTTATAAAGGGTCAATATGATTCCATCTATGTTCCTAAAGAGTGATCTCAGAGCTCTGGCCTTGGAGTCAGGAGGACCCAAGTTCAAATCCAATCTCAGACACACAACACTTACTAGCTGTGTAACCCTGGGCAAGTCACTTAACCACAATTGCCTAGCCAAAAAAAAAAAAAAAAGAGTCATCTGTAAAAGGATTTTTAAAAATTATTCAGTCATATTTGACCTTGTTATTTGTGGACACTTTTATAGAGAGTCCTACTCTAATTTATATTTCATGGAAATTTAGATTCACTTAAAATATACTTGGAACCATAGAAACTTCCACCCCAATTCCAGATACAAGCTGCAAATGTACTGAAAAGGAAGTGCAGGGAGTGGCCTTTAGGAGGCCAATCACTTTCCGTTGTTGGGTCTCAGTTTCTTCATCTATAAAATGAGGGAGTTGG